CTCCTGGGAAGTAATGCCAGGGCTGGGCCCCAAGGGCTGGGATGTCACCCTCACCAAAGAAGGCAGTGCTGCAGTGAAGACTGTAGCAATGGAAGGAAGATGGCAGAGAGAGAGAGAAGTGGCAAGGGGCAGATACTGAAAGGTATAAAAGGAAGGGAAGGTACTGTTACATGGCAGTACTGCCCCCAGTATGTGTGGTACCCGTGGTACTGAGCTTCTGAGAATTATCTGTAGCTTTGTGTCTATACTGCTATCATTCTGAAGAAAATTAATGTTATAGAGTGGTTTATGAATATGTCAAATCTCAAGCATTGATATGATATGAATGAGAAATGGCAAGCAGAGGTCCAAATTCCCTCTCAGTATTTCCCCCACATGCCTTCATTCTTCTAAGAGGTTGCACTCCCTTATGCAGTAAGGGATATTAGTTTATGTAACTCTTAGTGATCAAACTCAAGACTTCTTTGCTATCATGAATCCCTTTCCATCCAAAAACATGGCTATAGAAATTTTCGATGAGAACCAATCAGGAACAGTGTGTGTTTCTAAAGACCCCCCCACCCCCCCAGAAAAAGACCTTCCTAATCGCCTTCCCAGTCATACATTTGCTTTACTTTAGCATTTTGCCCAAAAGAACTAATAATACTGTTCTTCTCTGTAAACCCGCAATTATAAAATGCAAGAGGTTCTTTTCCTTTGGGGACAGGACCGGCTACAGCATTACAGGATTCACATGGGTTTTCATACGAGATGTTCGGGTATTAGCTCACTTAGCTGTCAATGACAGTGCTTTGAAAAGCCTCAGCATGTCCCAGGGTCCCTTAAAAATGAAGCAGCTCAGTTACACAAACAGCATGGAAAACCTATCACGGCATTTCAATGACTATACGTACATCTATTCTCATGTGACTCATAGTGATCTTTGAGGACCCCTGAGCCCTTAGCTAGAATTTTTAAAAGAAATACCTTTCTAAGTGCAACAGTTCACTGTAACTGGTCTTTCTCTAACATCCTCAGCAACTGTATTAGAATTGTCCTTCTCAAAATTGGACTTCTCTTATTTTCTAAGGACGTTCTCATAATTCCAGATTTCTTTTTTATTGTAACGAACTAGTCATACCTTCCAGCTCCCTGCAGCCAAGTTCTGCAGGGCGCCTGCTGCCCCTTCCAGCGTGTCTGCATTTGAGCACTCAGAGAGCAGTGTGAGGTAGGGTTTGACTATGGATGGGTGCCACAGCATCTGGATCCCTTTTGGTGGTTCTGCACAGTCTGGAAGAGGTCCTACTCCATCCCACTGGTGGAAGAGAAATGAGAGAGTAAACATCTTTAACAACTTTACACTCCCCAATATTGCCTTCTGCAAACATCAAAGACGAAAACAAAAGCAGGGTGTTGTAACATTTGGCGAATGTCTACTGGAGGTAGGGTACTGCCTCAGCAGTCCAGGGACCACCAAAAATGGGAGAGCCATCCCTGCCCACCAGGAGCTTATGATGGAGGGTGGAGAGGGTTGGGGCACATACATAAGTGAGTGTAACTGGTAGTAGAATGGAGAACGATTCTAGCACACTGCTATAGGAAGGAAGAAGGACTGGTTAATTCTGATTAGCTGAAGATCAAGGCAGCATATTTTACAGTTAAATACATTCTATAGGCAGAGCATAGCAGTTACGGTAGTAACTATAACTATCAAATAGTAATGATCAGATGCCTTCACTTCTCATGCATAAGTGTGAACTGTGATAAATTCCTGTATCACTTGCAAAATACGTGTTTTGCCATTACATCTATGGGCATCAAACAAATGACTGAATGGACAAAAAGAGAAAACTGTTATGGTTTATTACATACATTGACATGAGCTATAGGCAAATTTTGATCCTCCAGAAATTCTGATGTTTGGTTTGAATTGAATCTAATGAATAATAGGAGACTATGTAACTAAAAATTAATTACACACACATTTTAAATTATGGCTTCTTATTCACAAAGAAGACCTTTAAAAATGATAGTTATAAAGATCACATAGCAATTTGGATAAATATTTAAGATGAAAGTTAAATAAACAAAGCAGGATACAAAGGAGCTGGGGCTTGTGTTTTATACCAAGTAAAATGCACCATAAAAAAAGTCATAATAATAAACATTTATTAATAAAATTGTTTATGGCTTTCACTTTTTCTAAATTTCTTATTTCTTGTTCTATTATTCTTATAATTTAAAGAATATTGAAAGTTTCAATAATGATCCTGATCTTTGATCACACACAGCCTTTTTCCTTCATTAAAAATAAAGGCAATGAGTACACTGAGGGTAGAAATAAAGTAACATGTTTAGAATAAATATTCCCATATCCATTTTTGACAAAAATCATAGTAAAACAAAATAATTACTTTATAATATTAGGATGGGGATATTAAGTTATTTAACTGCTTATTTTTATCTATTAATGATTATGTAAAGTACTGTCTAAATGTCATATATACTAAGCTTTTTCACAGATACTTTACATGCATATATGTACATGTGTGTATGTATATATGTCTGTATACATATGAAAACAAAATTATATTTCAGAATCTGTGTAAGTTTCTTAGTTCTGAAAATTTACCTGGAAGAAAATATAGGCTTATGTCGTATCCTTGTAACAAAAATAAAAGTGTTGATAGAAAATAATGTAAAGTTATTTAACAGTCACAAGTAATTTCAAGAATTTTGTCATTTATTTTCCAAGAGAAAAATTTAAAAAATCTCGTCTTCTTTTTCTCAATTATAATACAGCTTAGCTCAAGTCGAGGCTGAAGCTCAGGGATGGATGACATCCCATGGATGGGTGATGCACGTCCCACAAAAGGTCATTTTCAATGAGAGTGTCACTCAATCTCAACTTTATAACAAGGACACTCAGCGTAGGAATCTTCCTGTTCTTTCAACTGAAGCTACTTCTAAACTGTTCAAAGATGACTTTGCACCTGTGCATGGCCTATCAATGAAACCAGTACATCTCTTTAAAAAAAAAAAACAAAACCCGACGGTTTAAAGTGAACCAGACCCGTCACATTGCTCCTGGTTCGTTATTTGAGACTGGCTCACTGCACTGGATAGAAAAACAGCACCAGGAAAAGAGAACAGTCATTGCATGGGTTTGTTGACTTTGATGCTGAAGCAGGAGTAATACTGGTTACTCAGAGGAAACTAGCTTGGGGTACAGACTCTATCTGCTAGTGCAAAGGGAAGTGAAAAGTTACTTCTTTTTTCCAATTTTTTATTTTGTCAACTCCTTAAAATTTTTAAGCTATCATTTTCATATAAAGATTTAGAACTTAACATGGATGAAATTCCCCTCTCATGTAAGAGCCCACATAGCAGTTGGAGGTACAGCGTAGCAGTAGTGGCGTGCCCATTACATGTGACAGACAAACTACAAAAAGAGCAAAAAGAAAAAAAGCTATATTATCATCTGCTGGGTTTCATCTTGTTCTTTTTTCCTTAACCTCTGCGCAGTAAAGCAAGATAAATGGCTAAAGCAGTAGACAATTTTCTTCAGTTTGACATGTGATCTATGTAGCTCTTAAATATCTTTTATTACAATCATTTCTTAGTGGCTACAGAGAGAATCTGAAGGAAATAAAAGGAAAACTGGTGTGAATATGGATAATCTTTGATGACAACAAGAGAAGAAGTTCAAAGGGGTTTCTCTGCTATTTCAGAATGTTGATGGCGCCCTGACACGTCAATCCAGAAGAAAAAGAACTGTTTCAAAGCCAGTCACTGTCTTCGCTTTTATCTGAGTACTTTATTCAAACTTCTATTAATAGGGAAAGAAGTAGCAACTATCCATTAAAAAATAGATTTTTATCACCTATGAAAGACCAGAAATCTTCTTTAAGAGTTGTGCCAACACACTTGATGTCACGTTGCCCAATGAATCACGGTCAACAGGAATATAGGGCAACGGTGACACCAGGATGAGACTGACATCATGAAACAGTTCTGCACATGCAACTTTTGATGCTAACCTCCTTCTAGAGTGAGGATCCACGAGAACTCATGAGATATGCAACTCTTTTACCAAATGGAAATACATCATTTCTAAGTTTAAATATAAGATTCATTTATCCTAAAATTTCTTCAAAACTGGCACGTGGGTTGAAGGGAAGTGACAGCTAAATCTTTAACACAGTCACAACACTGATCACCCAACTATTTGGTCCTAAGAACAAAGAACTAAATTTACAAATAAGCTTTATGCAAACTGTGCTTGTTTTGAATAAATCTTGAGGGCATATTACTAAAAATTCTCTAAGAACTTGAAATATGAAAATAACATGTAAAGAAATAATACCTAAGTGCTATGTCTGGAGAGAGAATTTCCTATGTAATAAAGACAAGGTATAACCCTGGAGACAAAGTATTTTCAGGAAACCAACAGGGGCAACACTAGCAGAGTATTTTTTGGTTATATTATCTGCATTATTGCCAAGTTGTGATATACAGACACACAAAAATCAGGCAGAAATTAGACAAAAGGGAAGCAAAAGAAAAAGGAGAAAGGCATTTGTGGTTTAAAAAAGTTTTATTCCAGCTTGGGGGGAATTTTTGTGAAAATATCCCTTTCTCCTCACAGTTTTACTCCTCATGCTTGAGAGTTAAATACATGTTCCTTAATTTTGTGCATATTTTAATTTTTTGTCTGTTAAATTTTAACAAGTAAAACTTGCAGAAGTTCTAGCAGCTCTTGATACTTAACATTATTAGTTAAATGTTCAAATTATACTTTGTGCCAGTCATTCATGGCTTTAAACAGCAGAAAAACAGCTGATGATTTATTTCTAGCATTAAAACTCCTCTTATTCATTGTTGTATTTATAGGAATTTAGAATTTACACATATATTTAGAGTTCATGAGATTAAGGATAGAGTGGGTTACCCCAGAGGTTTTTTTAGATTTTTTTTTTATTGAATAAATAATTTGCATTGAATGTTTGTGCCTGCCCTGTGAGAGCTTAACCCCTACTG